GCAGTGCAATGAGGCAAAATGGTGTCCTGAGATGGTTTTTAAGCAACTTTTAATGTGGATATAAGTGATTTTAACATTTGTATATATTTATGGTTTTATGTCCCGGCATTGAATGTTTGCTGTATATATGTTGTGCTCCGCCCTGAGTCCCTGGCAGGGTGAGAAGGGTGGAATATAAATATTTAAAATAAATAAATAAATATGCAGGTACATGGAAATTTCTAGGTATCTATATGTATATAGGATTTGCAAAGACCTGCAAACATATGAGGGGAAAACTTCCAAGGGAACCAAAATGCACACATAAAGTTAATACATTTAGATACACACACACACACACAACCCTCCCTCCCAGGAAATTAGATGGGTTTGAAAGAGAGACAAACAAACAAGGAGGACACAAAATATATCTCCCTCCTTCCCTCCCTTTTGACTGGAAGTAATAAATACTGATTCAAACATACAGGTGGCCTACGCTAAAGGACCAAGGTAGGCCACAAGATAGATTTGTCTCCAAATATGTCTAATCTTATAAATGTGGGATGATGTTATGCTAGAGTTGTGACAAACACCTATTCTAAAAGGAGGAGCATGGCTAGAAAATAATTCCAAAAACACCGGTTATGAGTAGAATATTTTCAAGGCTAGATCAAGAAAACACTGGATACTTGTAGCGACCAATTCCACCCATGAAAAAAAGCACCCAGATGGTTTTCTATGTGGATTTCACTTAAAGGAAGAGCTCAAGAGCAGAGCTTTGGAGCCATATTGGCAATGCCTAGATGCATTTCGATTAAATTGATGAATAAGTCGAAAGAGATGATCACCCATCCACAGCACTCTGGTTCCTGTGGTAAATGGCTTCCTTTTCAGATGCTGCCCAGTGGAATCGTTTCTATTTCAAATCTCCTGTTTCCTTGCTACAACAGGTCTCTACAATTTGAAGTTAAGGGAACATCTGAGCCAGTTCAATGTGGAGAAAGGCAGCCAATACAATTCCACCTCCTGTCACTATCTTTCTATTAAGATGGGGCTGTGGCTCCAGCAAAGGATCACCGCCTTGTCGGGGCGCTGGAGCTTGAGCACCTCAATGATGTCATGAGCGAAACCGTGAAGGGCCACCCAAGACGGGACGGTTGTGGCAGAGAGGTCAGACCAAGCGTGATCCCTGGGGAAGGCAATGGCAAACCACTCCAGTATCCTTGCCAAGAAAACTAAATGGACCAGTACAACCAGAGATATGTCGGTATGCCATTCGAAGATGGGACTCCCAGGTCGGAAGATGGCCAAAATGCTACTGGGGAGGAGCAGAGGATAAGTTCAACTAGCCCCAGATGTGATGACGCAGCTAGCTCAAAGCCGAAAGGAAGGCTAGCGGCCGACGGTACTGGAGGTGAACGACGAATCCGATGCTCTAAAGATCAACACACCATAGGAACCTGGAATGTAAGATCTATAAGCCAGGGCAAATTGGATGTTGTTATTGGTGAGATGTTAAGACTAAAGATAGACATTCTGGGGGTCAGCGAACTGAAATGGACTGGAATGGGCCACTTCACATCAGATGACCACCAGATCTACTACTGCGGACAAGAGGAACATCGAAGAAATGGAGTAGCCTTCATAATTAATAAGAAATTCGCTAAAGCGGTGCTTGGATACAACCCAAAAAATGAGAGAATGATCTCAATTCGAGTGCAAGGAAAGCCTTTCAACATTACAGTGATCCAAATATATGCCCCAACCACAGCTGCTGAAGAAGCAGAAGTAGATCAGTTCTATGAGGATCTGCAGGACCTACTGGATAATACACCAAAAAGAGACATTATTTTCATTACAGGAGACTGGAATGCCAAGGTGGGAAGTCAAATGACAACAGGGATCACAGGCAAGCATGGTCTGGGAGAACAAAATGAAGCGGGGCGCAGGCTGATAGAATTTTGCCAGGAAAACTCGCTGTGTATAACGAATACTCTCTTCCAACAACCTAAAAGACGGCTTTATACATGGACTTCACCAGATGGTCAGCACCGAAATCAGATTGACTACATCCTTTGCAGCCAAAGGTGGCAGACATCCATCCAGTCGGTGAAAACAAGACCTGGGGCTGACTGTAGCTCAGATCACGAACTTCTTATTGCCCATTTAGAATAAAACTAAAGAGATCAGGAAAAATACACAGACCAGTTAGATATGATCTCACTAACATTCCTAGCGAATATACAGTGGAAGTGAAGAACAGATTTGAAGGACTAGATTTAGTAAACAGAGTCCCAGAAGAACTATGGACAGAAGTCCGCGACATTGTTCAGGAGGCGGCAACAAAGTACGTTCCAAAGAAAAAGAAAACCAAGAAGGCAAAATGGTTGTCTGCTGAGACACTGGAAGTAGCCCAAGAAAGGAGGAAAGCAAAAGGAAACAGTGAAAAGGGGAGATATGCCCAGTTAAATGCGCAATTCCAGAGGTTAGCCAGAAGAGATAAGGAACTATTTTTAAATAAGCAATGCATGGAAGTGGAGGAAGACAACAGAATAGGAAGGACAAGAGACCTCTTCCAGAAAATTAGAAACATTGGAGGTAAATTTCAGGCAAAAATTGGTATGATAAGAAACAAAGATGGCAGGGACCTAACAGAAGCTGAAGAGATCAAGAGAAGGTGGCGAGACTATACAGAAGATCTGTATAGGAAGGATAATAATATTGAGGATAGTTATGACAGTGTGGTGAATGAATTAGAACCAGACATCCTGAGGAGTGAAGTTGAATGGGCCTTAAGAAGCATTGCTAACAACAAGGCAGCAGGAGACGACGGGATCCCAGCTGAACTGTTTAAAATCTTAAAAGATGATGCTGTCAAGGTGATGCATGCCATATGCCAGCAAATATGGAAAACACAAGAATGGCCATCAGACTGGAAAAAATCAACTTATATCCCATACCAAAAAAGGGAAATGCGAAAGACTGCTCAAACTTCCGTACAGTGGCCCTTATTTCACATGCCAGTAAGGTAATGCTCAAGATCCTGCAAGGAAGACTCCAGCAATACATGGAGAGAGAGTTGCCAGATGTTCAAGCTGGGTTTAGAAAAGGCAGAGGAACGAGAGACCAAATTGCCAATATCCACTGGATAATGGAGAAAGGCAGGGAGTTTCAGAAAAACATCTATTCTGCTTCATTGACTATTCTAAAGCCTTTGACTGTGTGGATCATAATAAATTGTGGCAAGTTCTTGGTGGGATGGGCATCCCAAGCCACCTTGTCTCTCTCCTGATGAATCTGTACAAGGACCAAGTAGCAACAGTCAGAACTGACCACGGAACAACAGACTGGTTCAAGATTGGGAAAGGCGTACGGCAAGGCTGCATACTCTCACCCAACCTTTTTAACTTGTATGCAGAACACATCATGCGATGTGCGGGGCTTGATGAATGCAAAGCTGGGGTAAAAATTGCTGGAAGAAACATTAACAAACTCAGATATGCAGATGACACCACTCTGATGGCCGAAAGCGAGGAGGAGCTGAGGAGCCTTCTAATCAAGGTGAAAGAAGAAAGCGCAAAAGCTGGGTTGCAGCTAAACATCAAAAAAACCAATTATGGCAACAAGAATGATTGACAACTGGAAAATAGAGGGAGAAACGTGGAGGCCGTGACAGACTTTGTATTTCTAGGTGCAAAGATTACTGCAGATGCAGACTGTAGCCAGGAAATCAGAAGACGCTTACTTCTTGGGAGGAGAGCAATGTCCAGTCTCGATAAAATAGTGAAGAGTAGAGACATCAGACTGGGCAACAAAGATCCGCCTAGTCAAAGCCATGGTATTCCCTGTAGTAACCTACGGATGTGAGAGCTGGACCTTAGGGAAGGCTGAGCGAAGGAAGATCGATGCTTTTGAGCTGTGGTGTTGCAGGAAAGTGCTGAGAGTGCCTTGGACTGCGAGAAGATCCAACCAGTCCATCCTCCAGGAAATAAAGCCCGACTGCTCACTGGAGGGAAAGATACTAGAGACAAAGTTGAAGTACTTTGGCCACATCATGAGGAGACAGGAAAGCCTAGAGAAGACAATTATGGTGGGGAAAGTGAGGAAAGCCTAGAGAAGACAATTATGCTGGGGAAAGTGGAAGGAAAAGGAAGAGGGGCCGACCAAGGGCAAGATGGATGGATGGCATCCTTGAAGTGACTGGACTGACCTTGAGGAGCTGGGGGTGGTGACGGCCGACAGGGAGCTCTGGCGTGGGCTGGTCCATGAGGTCACGAAGAGTCGGAGACGACTGAACGAATGAACAACAACAACGTGGCTCAGCTGGCTGGGAGTCAGCTGCATTAAGATCACTACTGACCGAAAGGTCATGAGTTCGAAGCCAGTCCGGGTCGGAGTGAGCTTCCAACCAATTTGTGTAGCTTGCTGTCGACCTTTAATAATAAATAATAATAAAACTTTATTTCTACCCTGCTACCATTTCCCCAAGGGACTCGGTGCGGCTTACATGAGGCCAAGCCCACAGCACATCAATAAACAAAGGCAATAACAAATAATCAATACAAACAATTAAAATAAAATAAAATAAATAAAACTCAAAAACAAAAAATACACAATAAGCAATAGCTTTGGAGCCCGAAAGACAGTTGCATCTCTCAAGTAGGAAATTTAGGTACCACTTATGCAGGGAGGCTAATTTAACTAATTTACGAGGCCATAAAAATCTCCAGCAAGCATGTAAAGAATGAGGAAGTACTTCATCAGTGTCACAAATGGACAATGAAGCAACAGCTCCCCTGGTGGCCAGAATACCCTCATGAAAAAGCTGGAATGTTAAATAGCCTCTGAGTGTCTGCCTATATATGTTGTGTGTCTATGGCATTGAATGTTTGCCATGTATATGTACATTGTAATCCACCCTGAGTTCCCTGCGGGGTGAGAAGGGCGGAATATAAATACTGTAAATAATAAATAAATAAATGGGGCCATTTCTATCATTATCTGGAGAGGCCATTGCTTACCGCTTCGGGTGGTTCTCTCTGGACATGCCGGCTTTTTGGTTTCTTTGGAACGAGTCGCACTTGGAAGCGGCTTAAATTGCAATCCAACGTCCCATTCGTGACATAACGCAAGAGCTGAGTTGAAGCCAGGTTGTCACTGTAATGGAGATCGAGGTCTATGGCCCATACCTGTGATATCACACACAAAACAGGTATTTTCATGGCAAAACTCATCTTCAGAACTATCCAAAGAGATGGAAAGAAACCACATCAGGCTTTGCCTCCATCGTTTAACTGTTTCTCAACTTAGAAGAGGAGCTTCTAAGTTGAGAAACAAACTAGTACTTTGAACTGAGCATAATCACACTTTTATTCTGGTGCAGCAACTACAAGTTAGTAAGTAACAAACTCTTCCAAAGTTGCAGGAAATATTTAGTCTGTTAGTAACCAATTTCTTTGATAATGTATTACTATCATGATAACACTATGTAATATGTAATAAAATTTCAAAAAAAAAAAAGTCTGTTCCTGGTTTGAAAGTGTTATTTCATAGAATCCTAGAATCCTAGAGTTGGAAGATACCTCGTGGGTCATCCAGTCCAACCTTCTGCCAAGAAGCAGGAAAACTGCATTCAAAGCAGGGTGAGCTCCCATCTATCAGCTTCAGTTTCTCATGTGGGGACATGAAAGAAGCCTCCCACATGACAGTAAAATCTTCAGGCATCCCCTGCGCAAAATCCTAGTTTTCTCTCACCAGAAGTTCTCTCTCACCCGACAGATGACCATCCAGCCTCTGTTTCAAAGCCTCCAAAGGAGCCTCCATCACAACCCAGGACACAGAGAGAGTTCCACTGCTGAACAGCTCTTTCTCACAGTGAGGAAGTTATTCCTAATGTTCAGGTGGAATCGCCTTTCCTGTAGTTTGAAGTCATTGTTCCATTGTATCCTAGTCTCCAGGGCAGCAGAAAACATGTTCCCTTTGACTTTCCTCCCTATGACTTCCCCTTACATCTTGACCCATGGCCCTCATCATGTCTTCTCTCAGTTTTCTCTTCTGCAGGCTAAACATGCCCAGCTCTTTAAGCAGCTCCTCATAGGACTTGTTCTCCAGACACAATTAAAATTTCCTGTTTAATTGTGCAGTCCTTATTCTGAAAGTAGTTGTTTTACTTCAGAAACTTTATTTTTGTGCTGCCACAAGCTAGGTTGAATTGGTTAAGACTTGATGAGATATTCCTCGAAAAACTATAGCAAAATATGCTGCAAGATGTCCAACCTACAAAAACAAAGTTTGTGCAGTTTAATAAACTTTCCCCATGTTTTTATGATATAAATTATTATTATTACTACTACTATTATTATTATTATTATTATTTGCTGTATTTGTATACCGCCTTCCTCAGCCCGTAGGCAACTCAAAGCAGTTAAGCAGGCAAAATTCAATGCTTATAATGTCATAAATACAATTAAAAACATAACATATAATAAAAATAAAACAAATCAATAAAATATAAATTCATAGTGTCTCCTTGTTAAAAACGTTGTCTGGCCTCATTGTCTAGTCATTCAATTTTCCTATGTCAGTTACTCTGCATTTGCAAACACTTGTTCAAAAAACCACGTCTTAACTTTTTTCTGGAATGTTAAAAGGGAGGTGGCCAATCTAATATTTATAAGGAGGGCGTTCCACAGCTGAGGGGCCACCACCAAGAAGGCCCTGTCTCTCGTTCCGCCAAACGTACTTGTGACGAAGGTGGTAACAAGAGCAGGGCCTCCCTGGAAGATTTTAAGGTCCTAGATGGTTCATAAGGGGAGATGCGTTCGGACATGTAAGTTGGGTCAATTAGGAAATTACATCTATAAAATTGTGTTATCTAGTGTAATTTAATTGCTCAAAAGTTATTTGGTTGAGATTAGTTCTCAGAAGATAAAGTGAAGGACCACTGGGGGAAACAAGAGTACTTAATCTGTATTGTTTGCATTTGATTGAGCAGTCAGATTCAAGTTTGTTGTTGTTTTTTTAATGTCAGGAGTGACTTGTGAAACTGCAAGTAACTTCTGGTGTGAGAGAACTGGCTTTCTGTAAGGATGTTGTCCAGGGGACACATGGATGTTTTACCATCCTGTGGGAGGTTTCACTCATATCCCCGCATGAGAAGCTGAAGCTGACAGATGGGAGCTCACCCTGTTCCTCATATTTGATCCACTGACCTTTCGGTCAGCAGTTCTGCTGGCACAAGGGTTTAACCCATTGTGCCACCGGGTTCATAATAATGTATAGACATTTTTCTGACTAATGTGCTTTGGCCCCTTGAGATTCTGCTGGAAATAACTGTTCAGGACCTTGGACAGCTCCCAATGTCTTCAGCAGAGGTCAACCACCATAAAACCTGGACAACCTAAAATTGGGCATTGATACTAATGGAACTCAAGAGATGAGTATGTAGAGCAGTGGTTCCCAACCTGTGGGTCCCCGGATGTTTTGGACTTCAACTCCCAGACATCCTAACAGGTGGTAAAGTGGCTGGGATTTCTGGGAGTTGTAGGCCAAAACACCTGAGGATCCACAGGTTGAGAAACACTGCTCTACATATTCATCTCTTGAGTTCCAAACATGGATTTTTCTCACACCAAACACGGATTTTTTAAAATCATGTCAGAAGCAAGTTGAAAACATACTGCAAGTCGCTTCTGGTGTGAGATAATGGGCTATCTACAAAAACGTTGCCAAGGGGATGCCTAGATGTGTTACCATCCTACTGGGAGGCTTCTGTAATGTCCCCACAAGCTAGAGCTGACAAATGAGAACTCACCCAGTCTCACAGATTCAAACCGGCAAACTTCAGGTCAGCAGTCCAGCTGGCACAAGGGATTAACCCAGTGGTTCTCAACCTGTGGGTCCCCAGATGTTTTGGCCTTCAACTCCCAGAAATCCTAACAGCTGGTAAACTGGCTGGGATTTCTGGGAGTTGTGGGCCAAAACACCTGGGGACCCACAAGTTGAGAGCCACTGATCTTGAGTTTTGTTCTTGATATGTATACATTGAATGAAGGTCATTGTGTAGTTTGCAATGCAGTCTAAATGGAAGAAAAGAATGGGGCCTGGGGAGCTTGCAAAAGAGGTCTTCAAAGGCCCTCCACTGACCTGCCTTTACCCACCTCCTGTATTCCTGAACCCCGAGAACACATGCATTCCCCCGAACGAGCCATCCGCATGCCCGCCTGATCTGTGAACATCCGTTCCTTAAAACAAATCTTGCAGGGAGTGACTTGAGAGCAAGCCACTGAATGGTAAATGGCATCATTATAAGGCTATTAAGAGGTCAGGCAGTCAAGGCCCCTCGCTAAACTGGAGCTAATTTCTGAATCATATTCACAAAATAATGCCCTTTTTACAACAGCAAATAAATCACGCCAGTAACAGTTGTTAATAACAAACTGCCAAGTATCTGTTGTGCGGTTAAATATCCTATTTGTCAACTTAAATATTTCCTCCACTGCATGGAGGGAAATGCAAATTGGATGCTGATGGCCAGCTTGCTTTGGTACAAAGAGGAGCCAATTACGACCCCTGTGCTTCCTTCTTCGTCCGCCTGGAAACAGACTCTGTGGAAAGGCACCAGCCAAGCCCAGGCAGCCCCAGAAGCTCATGTGCATTCCGTTTATCCTGATGGAGATATCCCAGAAAATGGGGAGCCATTCGCTGGGATTTCTCCATCTAATCAAATGAGAAGAGTCATGCTCAGTGACCCCAAAGGGTTGGTCCAATCCATCTTGCTTCCTGTAATGGTCAATTGAAAGCCTTCTAGATGGGACAGATCATTGTGTTCTCATTGGTTGTGGCCAAAGCCAAGGAAAAGGCAAAATAAGTGTGGAGGAACCATAGAAATGGGGTCCGTTTGACCTTCCTTGTTCCATCGGCTTATATTTGGGAACACTCTGCCTCTCACTTTGGAGTCAAAGTAGAAGTTCCAGGCTTTAAACCTACAACTATTTGAATAGTTGTAGCTGGAGGGAGAGCCAAAGTTTGCCAAGGCCTGCTCTAGAGATAAAAGCAAATAAGAATCATAATAATGGTATGGAACATCTCTCCTTGTTTTAAAAGGTCATACCTTACTTATAAAACATTGTACGAGGGTTGAATGAAAAGTAATGCCTCCACCTTCGTAACTCCTCAACAGATGGCAGTACTGGTATGTGGGAAGTACTGGCTTGTTCAGTAGACTCTCCTCTACAGTTCCATTTTAGTTCCATTTTAGCATTGAACGGTTGTGTTGTTCAAGTGCGAAGTATGGAGCCCTGCGCTGACAGTTGGTCAATGCGACTTAAGCAACGTGCAGTCACTGAATTCTTGACAGCAGAAGGTGTCACCGCAACATCTCTAAACTTACTTGCCCAACGATGCACAGTACTCACATCAACACAATCACTATAAACAACTTGCATTTTCTGATGAATCTCCTTTGGGGTGACATCTTCTGCTGTCAAGAATTCAATGACTGCATGTTTCTTAAGTCACATTGACCGTCCGTCTGCACAGGGTTCCATACTTTGCACTTTAACAACACAACTGTTCAATGCTAAGGCTTCCCACCAAAATGGAACTGTAGAGGAGAGTCTACTGAACACGCCAGTACCTGCCACATACCAGTACTGCCATCTGTTGAGTTATGAAAGTGGAGGCATTACTTTTCATTAAACCCTCGTACTTTGGGAGGCCTAATATCTCTAAAGGCACATTCAACTAACCTTTTTTTTGATCGCACAACAACTACATGAGCCAAGCAGATATAGGCCAGGATCTTGGTACAAAGATACTGTTGGGAAAATAGCACTATGTAACACATTTTTTGTTCCTGGGTTATAAATGTCATTTCCTAATTGGTTCTATCATTAAAAAATGGGGAAAAGGTTTATAAAACTGCAAAAACTTTGTTTCTGTGAGAGGGACATCCTGCTATAGCACATTATCGACTCCCAACCCATTCAACTTAGTTTGTGGCAGCTACAAAAACAAAGTTTCTGGAGTAAAACAACTCATTTCAAAGTAAGGACCGCACAATTAAACAGGAAATAACACTTTCAAACCAGGAACAGAAAATGTTGAAATGTTGTTATATAGTGTAGTTGTGTTTTCTCAGGAGGATAAGTTAGTGGTGCATGCAAGGAAACAGTTAATATGTGTGTGC